CTTCACTCTCCACGGACGACCCATCTTACAGCCTTAAAAAGGGTCCTCCGCTATCTTCAGGGTACAGTCACTCATGGGATCACTCTCTCTCGTTCCTCCACGGATTTTCTTCAGGCTTACTCTGATGCAGACTGGGCAGGGTGCCCTGACACGCGACGGTCCACCTCTGGTTATTGTGTATTCTTAGGGGACAACTTGGTCTCATGGTCTTCCAAGCGGCAAGCCACCACCTCTAGATCTAGTGCTGAGGCAGAATACAGAGCTGTAGCTAATGCCGTTGCTGAAACCAGTTGGATTCGAAATCTTCTTCTTGAACTTCATCAGCCACTACGACGAGCCACCATTGTGTTCTGCGACAATATTAGTGCTGTCTATTTGTCCTCAAATCTGGTACAGCATCAACGTACCAAGCATGTTGAAGTCGATATTCATTTTGTTAGAGACAAAGTTGCACTAGGACAGGTTCGAGTTCTTCATGTACCATCCTCTTCCCAGTTCGCAGACATCTTCACAAAAGGATTACCGTCGCTTCTCTTCACTGATTTCCGACACAACCTTGGCGTCCGAAGATCACCGACGGAGTTGGTAGCATGTTAAATATGTCAAGTTATATTACATATTTAATATTATTATTATTTATGGTAGATTCCATATTGTATAGGATCTCTCATTAATGTCAGCTTCCTTATTCTTAACCCTCCTACATGTATATAAGGGGAGGTGAATATATTGTAAAGGGATCATTGGAATTATATAATTCTTCAGTGGGAATGTCTACTCAGGCGAAGGAACATGGTGAGTAGTCGTGGTGCCTGTCATGACTTCATCTCGCATAAAATGACAGTCTGAACCAACATGCGTAATACAATTTGATACTCGTAATAATTAAGATTATTAAATAATGAAAATTATATGCATAAGTATATGAGAGAAAGACCAAAGTAGGACTAAAACATTGAAAATATACCAAAATAGGACTTCCATATTTTTATTCCCGAAATAGGACTTACATTACCAAACATGGTCATGTACATTACCAAAAAAGTATAGTAATGTGCACATGTACACTGCCACATTACCACAGTGAAAAGTCACATTACCACAGTGCAAAGTCCTATTTCGGAGGAAAAAACATGAAAGTCCTATTTTGGTACTTTTCCCTATGGTTTAGTCCTAGGGTGATTTCTATAAGTATATACAGTGAATACAACGAAAACCCACCTTATCCGAGAATAAGAATTTTGGGAAAATAAATGGATAAGAAAAGTAATTAATACGGAGTACTAATATCTACTACCTCCGCCTCAAGTACTTGTCCAGTTTTGAGTTTTTTCGGTCAACTGTTTTCAACATTTGACTTATAATTAAATAAAATATATATTGTATATTAACTAGATAAAATAATATTTTGAAAATATTTGATATTATAAATCTAATAAAACTTTTTATATCAATATCTAATATCATTTTTAATTTATTTAATTTGAGGTCAAAGTTTACCAATTTGGACCGAAAAAAATTAAAACTAGACAAATACTCAGGAACCGGAGGGAGTATTTCGTATTGATAATCAATGTCTTAAAAAGACTAAATAGATTGGCAATGTTTTCAATTGATCATGTTGAAATTGATAAAATCAAATTTAAGGTAATTAATGTCTCGAAAAACGCAGAATAGATTGACAATAATCACAATATTGTCAGTTAATCAAGATTTTATAAAAGAGTTTGATTTTATTGCACGCATTTGATTAAGGCATTTACATAAAAAAGGGCAACAAAGATTACATATTTACATTTTTTTAAATATTTTGATGGAATTGTAGAGAATATAGTATGTTTTGATGTTGTACTTTTATCGATCATTATTGTGTAGCTAATATTTTAATGTTTTTTTATGATATGAAGTCTTTTAACTTGTATCATTGTATCTTATTGCGTTTTACTATTTTTCATACTATACTCCGTATATTCTTGCATCTATGGCCCTAAAAAACTACGGATTATGACACCATTCTTGCATCTATGATCGTAAATTCTTCCGTTCTTAAAATATTGCCTCAGTTTGACATTTTTGGTCAAATTGTGACACCATTTGATTATGAATTAAGTATAGTTTAAAATAATTAAATATTATAAAATTTGATATTTCAAAACTATTTTTTAAAATAAACTCAATTTTACTAAATTTACATTATAACTAACCATAATTTTTCCATAATTCACAGTCAAAGGGTGTCATAGCTTGACCAAAAAAGTTAAATTGTGATAATTTTTTAAGAACGGGTGAAGTAGAAATCGTATATATATTACTCCGTATATAAATTATAAAATCGGATAGAAAATTATTTTTGGGACTAGGGGAATAAAAAAGCTTCATCGCGATCTTATTGTTGAGCCCTGATACTACTTGTTAGGCCTTGAACACGAGTTGTTGAGCTCCGATACCACTTGTTGGGTCAGTTAGCGAAAGAAATGATAAATTACTAGGTAAAAGTAGAGAGTATAGGACACCAAACATTTAATATGGTTCACTCAAAACTCTTAGGCCACAATCCAAAACAAGCAATTGTATTTCTTACAAAAAGTAGGTACACGTTTTCAATATCTTTTACTAGTAGGCATACATTTTTTCACTTATCCTTCATAGGGAAAATATTTCATAAGCACTCACTCTCTTCAACCTTTTGATAACTTTGGTTTGTTTACTCATTTGTAATGATCAATCAGCTGACAAAATAAACATACTTTTTCCATCTTGTTTCATAGAACTTGGATTTGCTTTTGAACGATATATATGATGTAATTTGCATTTTTATTACTCTGTCAATTTATAAATAAAATAATTTTAAAAGTGTAAATAAAATATGATTTGGATTATATTAATCCTCCTCCACCGCTATTTGAACATAATTTGCATGTGATAAAATCATGCAAAGTTATCTATTCCAAGGAATCAAAGCCAAAATCAAGTTTGCTTCCTTTCACCATTTCCAAGCTGCCACCTCAAGCCTTCTCTCTTTATTACAGTTTTTTCCTGTTAATTGTGCTGGGAAGCAACTATGCTAAATATAATGTTTCTGCAAGTATTAAGTGTAGATTCCACCCTCTGCCAACAATTTACGATTAAAATCTAATTTATTTTTCTCAGTGATCGTCCGACCGGATCTGAAGATCCCTCGAAGATGGGGCTTGACATGTGGGCCTATCTCAAAAAAAGGCTTGGCATGTGGGCCTCTATTTGGAGGGACCCATGTTAACACATATAAATATAATCAGTCCTTACAAGAAGAGATCAGAGTTGTTAATTGCATCTTTGTAGCATTTGTTTATCAATATGTATTGTGTTGAAATATATTAATTATGATTGCTTCCCAGCTGTGGTTTCCCTTCTTTGCCCCTTCTCTTGGAATTTTGCTTTTAATTATTGTATCCTCTCTTGCAGAGAAAGGTATGTTATTGCATTGTTTGCAAATTTAAAAATTAATTAGAAAAATAAAACAGTTATTTTAAATAATTTCAACTATTATCTATGTATTTTGAATAAGTCTGTCTGCTTGTTTTTTTTGAAGTAGTTTAACTTTATGTTTATTTTTTGTAAAAACTCTAAGTAGTTATCTTCAAATAATCCCTACTTTCTTAATTAATCTTTCTCATAATGAATATTAATATCTTCAATACAATAATTGCATCATAAATTAAACATACTACTGCATGCATCCCTCCCTAAGCATTTATCTACTTTTAGCAATCAAATCATGCATTTACCAATAGTTAAATAAAAATTACATAATATATCAATTGTGAAATTTACACTAAATAGGACTAAAACATAAGTCATTTCCTAATGTAGGACGTAAAACTTTTTTATTCCCTAAATAGCACTTAACAATGTCTAGTGGGATGAATAATGTCTAGTGATGGTGTACATTTATTTGAATAATGACCAATGGATAATGACCAGTGGTGTCCTACATTGGGAAATAAAAACATATGGTCCTATATTATAAAAGGTATTATGTTTTAGTCTTATTTAAGTAAATTCCTCATGTAATATTTTTAAAACTAAATCTAATAAATTGTCCTTATATCAATACGGAGTATATAATATAAATTTGATTTAATAAATGGCCAAAACTTATCAATTTTTGCCTACAAAAAATAATACTTTATCTTTTGAGTGCACATCCTTACTTACATACAAACATTGTTGTGTTTTGGTTGTATTATTAGCTCCATACAACTCTTTTGCCAAAGATGCAACATTAGCATCTGCGTCCGCGGGGCACTACGACTACATAGTCATCGGAGGCGGAACCGCCGGATGTGCACTGGCGGCGACGCTATCAGGCTCCGCAAAAGTACTCCTCCTTGAGAGGGGCGGCATGCCATACGACAACCCAAGTGTAACACGCCAAAGCGATTTCTTGAACATATTTTTCGACACATCACCCGGCTCAGCCGCACAACCATTTGTATCAACGGATGGCGTGCGTTTGACCCGGGCCCGCATTTTGGGTGGCGGCTCCGCCATCAATGTTGGGTTTTACTCAAGGGCAAGCAAGGAGGAGGTTTCCGACGAAGGGTGGGACCCGCATCTGGTGAACCAATCGTATGCGTGGGTGGAGAGGAAGGTGACGTTCCGACCTAAAAGGCTGTTGCGGTGGCAGACAGCCGTGAGGGATGGGTTGTTGGAGGCCGGGGTGGTGCCCTACAACGGAGGGACTTATGAGCACTTGGAGGGGGACCAAAATCGGAAATTCTATATTTGACGAGAATGGGTATAGACACATTGCTGCAGATTTGTTAGAGTATGCCGACGACTCTAAGATCACTCTCTATTTCCAAGCCGTGGTCCACCAAATCTTGTTTAAGAGGCCTTCATCAGGTCAATTATTTATTCTGCGATAACATTCAAAGCACTATATATTCACATACCATCATTATTATCTTAATGAGATATGTGTAACACAATGCAGGGGGAAACCCCACAGCCTATGGAATTTTCTTCAAAGACTTGAAAGGAAATGGTCACATGGTGTTCTTGAATGAAGGGCCCAATAATGAGATTATTCTCTCGGCTGGTGCAATTGGAAGCCCACAACTATTGATGCTGAGTGGTATTGGGCCATTCGACCATCTCAAAGCCCACGGAATAGATGTAATACTTGACCAGCAAATGGTTGGGCAGGGCATGGCCGACAACCCGTTGAATGGAATCATAATTCCATCCATTCGCCCGACCGAGACCTCGTTTAGTGACGTGGTGGGCATAACTCGTTCAGGAAATTACATTGAAACGCTAAGTGGATTGCCTATGGTCCCCAAAGCCATAGAAATCCTCAGACAAGCTGGTTTTGAGGACATGTCGTTTCCAGACATGAAGCTACAAGGTGGAATTATGTCGGAAAAAGTGAATAAAATTTTCTCTCAAGGGCACATGGAGCTTAAGAATAGGGATCCCAATGACAATCCAATGGTCACCTTTAACTACTTTCAAGACTCGAGGGACCTTCAGACTTGCGTGAGAGGCATGGAAGTCATTAAAAAAGTCTTCGAGTCGGAGTCCTTTGCTTCGTTGCGAAACCCCTCGACCTCGTTTGAATCTCTCTTGGACTTGATGTCTGCCATTCCCTTTAACATGAGGCAGAAAAACCGCCTCAAGTATTGTGCTTCATTGGAGGATTTTTGTGTGGACAATGTGCTTACCATGTGGCATTTCCATGGCGGATGTCGGGTCGATAGTGTAGTGGATCGTGATTATAAGGTGATCGGCGTTGATGCTTTGCGGGTTGACGGTTCCATGTTTTCTAGCTCCCCAGGAACTAATCCTCAGGCAACCGTCATGATGTTTGGAAGGTAATCTTTTAAACAATCAACTCAATCATCAACTGAAGTTTTTAGTTTTAGATCCATGAAATGTTTTAAAACTACTCTAACACGCCTTCTTACGTGCTAGTAGTATTTTTTTATATACTAGTAGTATTCTTCTTTATTTTTCCGATGTGGGATCTCCAACACCCCTTTCAAGTGGTAATTAGTCTGACCTAGTTAACACTTAGAAAAACGGGTATAGCGTCTCAATCTCTTATATCTAGCCCACATCTCTTATAGTCAACTCAACCCAAACCATAGATGGATAGCTCATTTTGCTAAACTCGCATCCAACCGACTGGGAAGATTCGATCCCAGACCGAACCTGCTTTGATACATGTTTCAATTCCGGTGGACCAGGAACAATGGGTGCTATGTCGAGTAAAATTAATCACTTGCATATAAAGTCGGGATCCACTTTCTAGCCCAAAAAACTTAAGCTGATAGGTAGAGTCTCATCCTTTTATATCTGCTAGTGGTATTCTTCTTTATTTTCCGACGTGAGAACTCTAACATCTAGTTCAACAATTTTTTGCTATCATGTCAAGGAATCAACTTATTCACAAATTTAAGTTTGTAGTTGTAAGCTCGTGAAAAGTTTTTATACTCTATTGTACTTTCTCCGTTCAGTATCTTTCTTCTCGTTTTGAATTCTTCCATGTTTTTAAATTTTCATCGCAAATTACAGGAAAAAAAACATTAAATTGTGATAAGAATTTAATATTAATAGATTCTTTTGCCACAAAGAATCATTACATGCATGTGTGTGTTTTGTAAAACTTAATCACCCACTTATCATGATTAGCATTTGATGAAAGTCATTTGGAGAGTCTTATTCACATATCTATTTATATATGCATGCAGGTACATGGGGCTCAAAATTTTGCAGCAACGATCAATTCGTGAATGAACGAGCTTACAAAAACTGGATTTATACAACTTGAAATGCAAAGTCAGATGGTTGAAATGGTTTTGCCACAACAACAATTAGACTTCCTCACAAATAAATTTGATGTTTATTTGTATGTCTAAATAATATGTAGTACAATCATGTTCATTTTAAATTTAAATAAATGAAAATTATAAAGATTGTGAGAGCATATGTATTGGAGAATTATATTTGACCTCAAATCGTATTAGTAATTTTTACGGAGTACATAATAACTTGGACTATTATTTTCTTTACTTTTTTAAAATTAATATTAATATATAATCATACTCCAGCTCCGTACAATTTTTCGTTTTAATCCGATCCATATGTCTATTGTGATATATCTTTCTATCTGGGTTGTTGTTATTGTTTTTTTAATCATCACTATACCACAAATCTATGTGACAACAATAAGGAGATCGAGACAAATGAAGCAATACTTTTTTTATTAGTCTTGGTTGAAATTAGAGAAAAACTGGCCATAAATAATATAAAGGTGTTTTGACCGAACAAAAATAAAATTACATTATATTTTTATTTAAAAATAATCACAAAAATTACACGAGACTAGTGGTAATAATTTTGCATTAAAAATAACTTAATTAACACGATTTATTTTTTATCAAGATATCTTAAAGATGATTAATGTAAGCCAATTAAATACACTAGCTATTTTTTTATTTAAAAAATCCTCGCAAATAAAGGTGAAATACAACCATATTTAGGTAAAAAGTAAGTCACACCATAACATAAAAATAACACGAATTATAAATTAGTACTTTATATTATTTATTTTAATTATACTTGTCTCTAACATATAGAATAATGTTCATAGAAACATATGGTTTGTTTAGAAATTTCGAACTGTTAGCATTTTGAAAAAATTATCTATCTACGGGCAGCGTTTAGCGTTAACATTTTCAAACTTATCTATACCGTTAATATTTTATCCAAAACGTTAACGTTAATTTCTAACATTATTTCCAAACAGGTCCATAATTAACAAGATCACATTTAACATTACAAAGAAAACTATAAATTAATTAATTAATGTAAGATTTTAATAATTTACCTTCCTTCAATTCCTTGCATCGTTCATCTCTCTTCGCACAAGCAATCACCTGCCTGTCAATATCTGATGACCATCTTCCTCAAATATTCTTCTTTCCAGAAATTACCTGCCCCGAATTCAAAAACCTCCACTTACCCTATTTGATTCTCGAGAAAGAAAAGAAACTGCAAAGGGTAAGAGAAGAGAGGAAAGACTTAGGAAAACACATCCAAATCGCAGGTAAAGCTTCATTCTTTAAAATCAGATGTCGAATCTTTAACACCCTTCACTGGGATATATCAACAAAGTATATAGGTATCATTTCACGTATGTTTTTTTCCCTAATTAATAATGTGTTGCATCTGGCGTGTTGGGGTTGCAAGGAAAGTGTTTGATGAAATGCCTGATAGAGACGAGATGTGAGTCCTTTCTTGGAGTTCATGGGCGCTAGTTATACTGGTGTGGATAATTACCCCTCTTTTTTCTTTTTTTCTTATGTTGGCTTTTCACTTCTTTTTCTAATGGTGTCTCATTCTTAATTTCTTATCATTTAGGAATGCTGATTTTTCTTGGCTGGACTCTAGCATAACTCTTTCCAAAACATACTTGTTTTGCCATAATGTTTCCAGATTATTTAGTGGTTTATAGAGAGTTTAAGAATGTCCAAAAAGTGATATTCAAAACATTTCAAAATTTGAGAAATTTCAATTTTAAAAAAAACAACTTGGCTCACATTCTGTTCATTTGCCATTTGGTATTGCTCTTTCTGAAAATGATTCATAGTTACATTATGCATAATAAGTTCAAAAGTTATGCTAAATGTGAATTCCAGAACTTCAAAACTCTCGTTAATTTTCAAAAGAGGATGTTTTGGGATTATGTGTATAGAACTTATCTTGCCAAAGTCAGAAGACTTTTTTACCAAGCACAGATTACTAGGTTTCTTTTTGTCTTGGTAACCTAGTGGAGTCTTTGACTATCTGGGATGCTTTCATTGGTTTTAATCTAAAAAATAACGAGCTCATCGTTATTTGACTTATTTCAATGTTATGCTAGCCATTATATGCAATACATCTTTATAAGGTAAATAACTAAATTACAACCATGATTTTGGTTGTGTTTCATGATCTAATTGCATATGTATAGTGGTTAAAGATTGCCCATTATCATATCACTAGCCGTGAAGGATTAAAAATTAAAGTTTGAGAAAGACAATCAACGGCAGTTTCTTGATGCTTTAGACTCTTAGCAAATGGGCAATCTTTTTAAATCATTGAACAGATAATGGCCCATGCTCGGCAGTCGTTTATACTCTGTATTACCAAATAACTCTGTTTTCACGTGTAATGTTTCATGCTTTGTGTTTTATATTATCTGTTTTCAACTGTTTTGTTTTCATATTTCTAAAACATAAATAATTTTTGGCAGATCTGTCTTGTATGTCATTTAAATAATTTATATAATGAACATGTACAAGCTTTATATAAAGAAACTGAACCTTTTATAAATGTGTCGAATTCAAAACATGTTTTGAGGGGCAAACAATGAAAGCATCCAATAATTATCATACATTTTTATTTTGTTTTCAGAAACTGAAGAAAAATATGACTGCCCAGCACAATCTCTGATTGCAATTATGAGAGAGAAGTGAAACCAAAAACCCCAAAAAATAATTTTTTTCTAAATGACACCGTAGATTACACTGTCACACAGCTACATAGCTGGTAACTTTGGTTCTCACTTTTTTGTAATTGGATGAGTTTGGCAGCGATGATGAGCTTTTTTCCATAAAGAGGATGCATGAGCTTTCTATGGTGCATGGTTTTGTGGATATAACTAATAACTTGGGAGACATGATAAAATTTCTGGCAAATGAGCCATCGGTGGGGCTTTTCTACATTCAACAGCATACACACAATGCAGTTCCAAATCTCATCAACCTTAACAGGAAATTGGTTGCAAAATCTCACGAGGTGAACTTACACATGGAAGATTTAGAGGATTCTATAACAATGACAAGATCAATGAAAGAGTTTGGCTTTCCAATTGCTGAAGAGATGAGCAGAGACATCAAACATTCACTTGCTGTCATGGCAACAAACCACCCCAAAAAGGGGTTAATAAATATCCGTAGGGAGAGTTCTGCTATTGGGCGTATCAGTACAAGTCGTTTGTATGGTGATGATAATAACAGTGGCTCTCTCTTAAATATATTGAAATCAGCCAGGCGAAAAGCTGGAAGCTTCAAGTGGACTCAACCTGAAACCAAAGAGGAGCATATTCAAGTGAAGGATGGTGGTGAGCCTTCTTCATCAACTGTTGCAGAGACAGGTATTAATGATCAGCTGATATCTTTTTCAAACAAGTATGAGGAATTTAGGGCGACGAGGGAGGCGGAATTGGAAGAGTGGTTGGGATGCGGGTCAGGTGATCAGCAAGGTAAATGCTGAATAACATATCAATGCAATTGCAACATAAATATTGTTTTCTTGTGATGGACGGGGTGGGGATGGATTAGGAAGCTTGACTGAAGTTAATTTTAATTCTACAACAAAAGAATTGATTTAAGAAATGTTTATGCCCATAAAAGAGTTCAGTCTTTAAAGTCAACTCTATTCCTTTAAAAGTAAAATTCTTGTAAAGCTAAGGCCTTGTTCCATATCAGTGTAACTCTTCAGCTTTTTGTTTTATGATTTTCGAAGATATACAGATTATGATACAAGTTTTACTCCGTACTAAAAATGTAGTCATAATTTTGAAAACTGTCAACAACAACAAAATTAAAATAACTCCTGGTTTTCATAATATTATTTTTAGCTTTCAAAAAAATAGAAAATGTTGACGAACAAACTCCAAGTGACAGTGGGTTTTACTACACGCTTAAATGACACAAAAGTAAGCATCAATTCTCCATGCGTAGGCTTGGCCTTGGTGGGAGTGGTCTCTCCATGTCCAAGACTTGCTGCTTTAGCTTATTGAAGTAGGGTGTGTGTTTGGTTCTTTTACTATGTCTCTTTCTTATTTTTCTTTTTTTCCCATGCTGACCTGCTCTCTCGGAATTCTTGTGTTTCGAGCTGGGGTCTCTTTGAAACAACCTCTCTATTTTCTAGGAAGGGGTAAGGTCTCCATATCCTCCCTAGACCTCAGTTTTGTGGGATTTTACTGGATTTGTAGATGTAATTGTCATTTGGGTCCTCCATGTATTACTACAACTCTGAATTATCCCTGCCCAGCTGCCCCTGCCACCACTGAAGTAATGTTTTATTTGGCTCTGCCATTGTGTGAAGGGATCAAACTGTTTCATCTCTTTTTGAACCCTTGTTGCAGATAAAAATGCAGCAGATAGAACACAAGAAGAAGAGCAAGAACATTTTTGAAGGATGAAAAGACGCTCCGCTTATGGTCGATGGATGGGGGGGAGTATAGTTGTGCGGATTAGATCAAAATATGCTATTAGAGCTCGTAAGGTGTGTTTGGTTGGAGGGAGGCAAAATGCTCCTCTCCCCTCGATTGGTTTGAAGAGTTTGGAGGGAATTGTATCCGGCATACCCCCGTCCGCGCCCCCAAACTCTTCAACCAAACACACCTTATGGCAAAAAGCCAAAGACAGTGATCTCCTCCCCTCCCTTTCAACAGACCCAACAAGAAGTAAAACATTGAAACCCTCTCCATCCTATCACTTTTGTTGCATATATCTGCTGTGTTGGTAATTGACTTTACATATTCCATTTTTTAAAGATAGGGTTGTGCTTGTCAAATTTTATAAACTGCTATCATATATTTTTAGAATCCTTTCCTCTCAAAAAAAAATCAAATTTCAATTGAATGTGGTTGGCGTTAACTATTTTCAATTTTATTTTATTTGAAAATTGTTGTAGAGATGAAAATTATATACGGAGTATATATTTAATGGGGAAGACTAAACTTACAACAAAAACATATCCAACAATTGTACAAAAATTTGATTGGGATACTTACGGTGTTCTGTTCATAAAATTGATGATTCATATCCTCATAATAACCTCTTAAACCTCACACCCAACACCTATCCCCACTTTAGCCCCTGCACGGGCTGCACCCACCTAGCTTAATTGCCATTTTGGCAATTAAGGGAGAAGGTGCTAGGGGTGCTGGGAGGGGTAGGAGTGGAGACTGGGTGGGGGAAAATGGATAACTTTTAAGTTCATATCTATAAAAAATTGAATGAATGGGAAGAAATTAAAAAATATATTGTAAAAAATAGAAAAAATTTAAAAACTGAAAAAAATTATTAAAAAAAAGTCAAAAGAAAGAAGTGCTCTCTCATTCCCTCCTTCCCAAAATCATCATTGAAGTTTGACCAACATGTAACCTTTTATCTCTTAGAGTTATTTTGCTTATAAATCAGTATAAAAATAAAAATTACTATATTTTTATAAATTACATCAAAAGTTTTACGAAATAGGAGACGATAAAAATATTTTATTTTATTTAATGGTCAACTAAAATATAGTAAATAAATAAAAATTATCAAGAATCAAATATAGTAACTCTAACACTAATTCAAGAAAGAAAAAAAAGATAAGCCTCAGACGAGGGCTCCTTCAGACGGTCACCCATAGAATGTAAGGTAAAAGATTAATGGTCCTCGAAGAACAACCACAAAAAATGCACTAAAATCCGCAGTAAAACCAGCCCAAAACTCAATCATGAAAAGACAAATGAACTATGAGCAAATTTGTAGGCGTAAAAAAGAATGGTTCAATTGTTCTTTTGCAAAGAAATCCAATGCCAGCTTCCTCCATCAGTTGCGTTGAGCTGAATCTCAATGTTGAAGAGACCGGTGACTTGAGCAGGAACAATTGAAGCCTTTCTCGCAGGTGAGTCGATTCGCGATTGCCCATCGCTCTCATTTGGAAACCTTGTTTTTTATTTTTTACCATATGATATGCGTATCGGACAACAAGTTCAGTCTGTCTTGCATGCCAGATGTTTGATTAAATTCCTGAAAGAACCACTGCTCTTTGTTCGTTTTCGTGTTAGTAATCCTCTGACAGCTTTAGCGTTTAGTTTTATCAGCTTATTGGAAAAGCTATCCCCAACCATACTCTTTAGCTTCAGAGTTTGTTCAAGCTACTCGTACAAAACAACAACAATCCAGTATAATTCCAACGCCATTGGGGCCGATGGTAAAAAAGAATTTCCTTTGGCCAAAACTTCATAGAAAGTAAAGAGAAAGAGAAGTTTATGTTGTATTTTTATTCATTCCAATACATATCCAAAACTAAAACATTGTCAATAACGACGACTCTTTCTGCCCGAAACTAAAACATTGTCAATGATGATTCTTTGAGCTCCGTCGCAATTGGCGGAGAGTTTTTGAAGTTAATCTATGCAATTGAATGATTATTCAAAGCTCTAAGACTCGTTAGAAAGGTTGTTTCAAACGGAGCTTTAGTCTTCTTATTAAAAGGATCAAATGCAATCAAGGAAATGTTATATGTGTCGCTTACTCGTGTGTGTGTGTGTGTGTAGTTTGGCAGTGATTTCTCAGGCAACTGAGAGGAGTCTTCTGGAACTGGATATGGTGATTGAAGCCATGAAACTTGTCACTGCCGGAGTCAGTTCACTTCAATTCAAGAACAGTCAAATCTTCGGGACGTGTATGAATAGCTCCCATGCCCTTCCCATGCAAAGCAAAAGTGTGTTTTAGAACTTTTAAGGCTTTACTCATGTCGTTCTAATAGCTATCGGTTCTTTTTTTTTCTTCTGACATCTTCAATTCTGGAAGCATATGGTTGCAGGTTTAGTTTTGAATCCGTTGGTTGTTCGAGCGTCATCTAGGGCCAATACTCGAACAGAGAATGCCAAGATTCGTAACAGAAGATTTAGAAAAAAGGTGACAATCACCTGCTTCTGATCTTTCATTTCTTTTTTAGTGATGTGGGTGGGAAACATTCTTAAAGATCAAGTATGAATTAGGTTGTGTTTGCTTGACATAACAAGGTGAAGCTTAAAGACCAATCTCTTGTTTATGGACTAGTGTCTAGAACTAGATTTGGGTTGGTGAAGTTTGTGCTAAAACAACAAAACAAAACAAACTCATTAAAATCCCTCATCCAAGAGAATCCATTGCTACTATAAAAAGGTGGCTAAGAGTAAGTTCCTCTAACATCAAAGCTTAACTTCTTATACTTGAAATTATTTTAGGGCAAGATTTTGCTTGACCAAACTGATAGCAATAATCCAAATATTTGACTTGTTTCTTGATCAGTATAATGGCACGCCGACAAGACCAAGGCTTTCGGTGTTCTGTTCACACAAACAGCTGTATGCTATGCTGGTAGATGATCAAAATAAGAAATGTTTGTTTCATGGGAGCACTCTGCAAGAATCAATCCGTGGAGACCCCCCTTGCAGCACCATTGTACGTATATATACTCTTTCGAATAACAATAACTCCTTTATGTTTTGGTGAACGTGAAACCCCGTTGGCATATGCATATCTTGGACCAAACTTTTAGTCGAACCTATTTGGATCCGCTTCTGACCTAAATGACCAAGCTATTTGGTCGGCCCAACAAGCTAGACCGGTCCAGACTAACCACTGCCTCTGAGAGCCTAGCTACGAGGTGGGCCACCTCCTGTTTTGGCTGCCAAGGTAGCCCAGAGGAGGCCGACCGAATGCCCAAAATGAAGCATGCCAAATCCTCCAATCCACCGGGTTGGTCAATTGGGCCTCTGGACAAACACTGGGCCAAGGCCGACCTCAAACTCTGCGCAAGGCCTGAAATTTTGGGCTCTTGAGTCCTCTTTCTTGGGTCTGATATTCTAGGGTATCCACAAATATCGTACAATTATTTCTCCACGATGACTTATAAGTTCACTAGTAAAATATGAATTTCTCACTAAGTGAAAAACACATATAGCACTCAGTGTACACAATCACTGCACACTGAAGAAAAACTTAAATGCTCGTTAAACAGAACCTAATTTGCTCACTAATTTTCATCAGGAAGCAGCTAAACGTGTCGGTGAAGAGCTTGTGAAGACTTGTATAGATCTTAACATCAATGAGATTTCGTCTTACGATCGCAATGGTTTCGCTCGGGGTGAAAGAATGCAAGCTTTTGAGACCTTTGTTTCCCAGCATGGTTTCTTGCCATGATAAATCTATCATTTGCATTTCTTTTCTTCTTTTTTCCCCCTTTTTTTTCTTTCAGACCCTTAGTTTTTACAAGTATATATCTTACTACTCCGTAATAAAAATAATACATTTTATCTCATACTAACTCCATCTTTAAAAACTTTGCTAATTTTGATTTTCACAAAATTTAAAAAAGGATTGAAGAATGTATTTTTAGAATTTATTAAGATGAGAGAAATCTTGTCATATCCATGTTCATTACAAAGGGAAATAAAGCGGGAGGGAAGTGTTTCTGGGACGTTAAAAAAAGTGGATAAAGTGATTTCTGCATAAATTATTAACATTCATTAAGAACAAAGTACATGTCATTTCCTTTCCCATATCAGAAAATAACAGTAGAATTTGGTTGGTGTCATTAATCTAAAAATTGCAATGAATCACCCCAAATCCCAATCACACTACACACAGTCTACTTCTATTTAAAAACAAACAAAAAAAATAATTTCACAATATATATCAAAACTACTGGAAATCAAAGTTCACACTGGGAGGCAGATTAAATGTCTGTGTTCTATCATCACAATTACTTGGGGGAAGAGTGGGGCCGCCGCCACTTCTATCGTCCCCAAAAATCTCTTCAAGGGTCAGGCTCGGAGGGTTCGAGCCCGTGCTACATGTTTTGTTGCTTGGTTCTGAACCCATAGTATCGAAATTACCAGTACAAGAATTCAATGAAGGGGTGAAAGTTGAAGTAGAACTCATACCGTTGCAGAATCCATAGTTAACGCCGTTCGCATTCTGGGTACTCTTTGAACTTGAAATCTGACTACAGCTAGGGGCATTGCTTGCTGCTCTTGCAGAGTTGTTATTTGTCACTTCTGGTTTATTCTGGAGTGTTCTAACTGCTTCCATTCGGACAGCGTCTCTGGCGGGTGTTGCAGTCACTCCATTACCTCTGCGCACTATTTTTGCCTTTCTGGAAAAATTATATACAATATAAAATATGAATATCTCAGACGATGAATACAACAGTTACAGCCACGTCAAGAAATTCACGTGTCCCTGAGAAGATCAAGTGAATCCACACGAGGCCGCATCGTTTCTTTTTTTAAGATGTACTCAGACAACCGAAGTAGGATAACAAATACCTTACTACTCTCCGGTTTGGCAAGGCGGCCCTTGAAGTTGATAAACCTTCCAAAAAACAGGTAGCAAAAGGAAAAAAAATCAGGTACAATGCTCTTGTGTTCATAATTATGAGCATGTTCTAATAATGAAAAGGTAAATTCATTTGCAACCCGGAAAATACTATTGAAAGGATATAAAGAGGCAAATAGATAGGAATTTGGAAGTGAAAGAAATGTGTGGGAAAGTAAAAAAAAATGATTCCAGCTCCTTGAATCAATTTAGATACTCCGTATTTTTTTACTCAATTTATTTGAATATTTCCATTGAAGAAAGACTAGAAAACCCCAAAGCCTAGTAAAACTAAAAACGTTTAATGAAGTCTGGTTTTCCAAGATAGAGCCAAACATTTAGAAAAGCCTTTTTACTTAATACAGAGTACTGTTTTTTTCTCTGTCACCATTTCCCGAGTTATAAGCATAGCCTTGGCGTAAAAGGTAGATAAAATAAAAATTACCCACCAGATTTAAGAAGATTTGGTCTGGGTTTACGTTTTCCCCTCTCGGCCTTGATGGAAGCTATTAAAGCATCTGCAGATGGCCCCAGACCCTTCCTCCCAACAAGCTTCACCCCAAATTTCTCACAGAGATGATTCAGCCTTGCATCATCACCCCCTCTCACCTCTCTCAGTTCCATTGCTTGTTCCTTAGAAAATAATGTATAAACATGAAGTTCTTGCTGCTGATTAAAATGAGACTGAAGCTGCTGAAAGAGCAATTTGTTTGAATGCTGATCGGGCTTTAACCCATCGTGACTTTTCTTCCTCGACCCACTAAACGTCACCCTTAAAATCGCTGTCGATTTTGCATCAGTTACTTTTCTAGCAAAGATTACAGAAAAGCTGCCGAATTCTAAATCTGGCTGCCTGAATAGATCGGTAAGAAGAGAAGCACAAGAATGAGCGTTCTTCCAAGGGGTTTTATCAACTTTCATGCTCAATGCTCTAACTTTAGCATATTGAGAAATATTGGCAGCTTCTCTAAGCCCAGTGAGAAAAGCTCCATGCATAGTAGCTGGGTATCGCCTTGTGGTGGCCTCCCCTGCAAAGAAAAGCCTACCATCTCCCACGCTTTCAGCTAGAATATCATAGTCATCCCCGGATGCACCTACGGCAACATTAGAGTAGGAACCTAAGCTGAAGGGATCACTACCCCATCTTGTACAGACCGTTTGGATGGGTTCAGGCACTTCAATTCCTTGTGGTTCAAATATCCCTAATTACAGCAAAATCATGTTTAAAGGGGTTTTGAGATTAAACTGAATAGGCAATTGTAATATATATATATATATAACATTACTTATCTCAGGCCAAATATATATTCCAATAGTGCACCAAATTCAAGATCCATAGATACTTTAGTAACTTTACAAATAAAAAGCAGTGTCATAAATTTTCTGTAGCCACATCAACTGAAGAAAAAGATTATAGCAGTTTAGTGGAGATGGTGAAACATATTTGAAATAAAATGAATAGGCAACTGTAATTTATGTAACTTCACTTATCTCGAACCAAATATATATTCCTGTAGTGCACCAAATTCTAGACCCATAAATACTTTACAAATAAAAAGGAATGTTCATAATTTTGCTTTAGCCACATCAACTGAAGAAAAAGATAACACATTTATTACAGCAGTTTAGTGGAGATGGTGAAACATAAAAGGCAAGTAGCCAAGTACTTTATTACCTCCGTCCAAAAATAGAGTCATATAATCATATTATTAACCTAATAAACAATTTTTAAATTTGGGTAACGTAGAAATGTAATAGATCATGAATCATACTTTAAATTTTAAATTAATTTGTTGGCATAACTAAATTTGTCATATGCAGCTTGAATATGAGTTTTTGGGCCTTGTTTTGGTTAATTACATGAAAAATTAGTTTTATGAAACTATACTATCTTTTGGGGAGAACAAAGTGTTTGAAACATGACTTTTTGGAGATGGAGGGAATAATATAGCAGTTGGACTTGAAGTAACATGATTTTTATCTAATTATTCATTCTTAGGATTATGAATGTTGCAACGGGAATGGAATCCACTGTTAAACATTGCCACTCTATTTTTGCATGAACTTAGTGCTAATGGGCACTGTGAATTCAGCCCCACCAACACAAACTGGTTGTGAACTTATGATTAAGGTGATGATAATTACACACACAAGATCGAATAAAAACTGTGTTTTAGATGAAAACTAAAAACCAATACACTGCACTGGACCCAAGATCTAAGGGCCATCATGAGGCAAAAATCTAGGAAAAGTTCAAAAAAGCACAGTGGTAGTTGTGTAAAAAACAGAACTTTCATATCACCACAAAAAGTGTATCAAAATACATCAAAATGACCCACTATGCTTCAGAAAAAATATTTCTAGTTTTTACATGAAGTGTTTTTGTTGAAACTACACTGTCTATACACACAAAGTGTGTGTAAATATTGGAAAAGCGCTTGATTTTATTCCGGTTTGTTTTTTATCTCCTAGGCGGAAGGTGGTCAAATATGTAAATGATTATATTAAATTTAAAACGTTCAGCCCTTTGCTAGGGTTCATCCATTATCCCACCTAGCCCTTTGCTAGGGTTCATCTTTTCAAAAAGTCTCATTATGTGACAGTTTACACATCACAAATTTGAACAAAAATATAGAAATAGCTGTATTAAAAAAAGACAGGTACTGCACCCAAGAATGTGGTTTTATACTTTTACCTTTAAGAATCTGAAGAACACGTGCCACAGAATCAGTGGGGGGCGTGCTCTCAAATCTGTGAGCAGCTTCTCCAGCTACTAGAGCTAACAATAGGGGACCACCTGCAACAGGTGCATAGCTATAAAACAGAAAGAACTCCCCACGGTGACTGGGATCCTCGGCCAGATGCCCAAATGTGTCGAGATCAGTACCCCAGAAAACATGTGAAAAAAGCATTGCAACCTTATTCAACAAACCAAATCCCAGTCTCTTTATTCCATCAAGCTTCCTCTGAGGCAACTCTGGTATAAACTTAATCGACCCATTCTTGAGAACTCCAAGCGGAACAGTGCACAGTGCCATATCACCATCAAAGAGCTGTGTCCCAGCAACAACCTGCACACCGTCACTACCATAACGAATTGTGTGCACAATTTTCTCATAGAGAATAGGAACATTCTCAATTAAAGCTTGAACAAGCCTTCCATTTCCGCCAGGCAAGAAGCAATGATCCCCTCCCATATCATAGGGGTCATCTTGGTCCCAAAATGCTAGTGAGAGTTTAGAGAGCAGCCCTGCATTTGCATACTCAAGATTTGCAAGATGCCAGTTAAAAAGGCTCATTTCCTCAGCATTTACCTCATTACCATTGATCTGGAGGAAAGTCTCCAGTGCAGCCCCTAGAGACACATCCTGAGAGACATCCCCCATTGACTGCCTTAGCTTGCTCGCCTGGTCCAAAAGTCTGTTGAAATCGGTCTCTACCTTATTATCCAAATCCGGATCAACAGGTTTCCCATCTGGTCTGTAGAGCGGGCACTTATCCCTCACCTTGTGAAGTGTATAAGAGAGTTGCCTTGCAAGAATCCCAAGTGGGTTCCCTAATGTGCCAGTCAATACACTTCCTCCTAAATCTGCAGATGCCTCCCGATTCCCACCCTCAACCTTCCTAGTATACACCCTCCCACCTGCCCGCTTTCTTCCCTCCAAAACGGTAACGTTAAAACCAAATGACATCAATTGTCTTGCTGCGGACAAGCCCGCCAGTCCTGCCCCAATCACAATCACTCTTGGCTTGCTAGGGTCAGAATCAATCCTCTCTTTAATCACTGGTGCCACCCCAAAGTTAATAAACCCACGCAAGACCAAATAATTATATGCAGAATCCAATAGAGTGGCACAGTGCTTTGGAATAATATCTACAAACATTTCCTTTGTCAGCCAAGTAGACACGTTTTCCCGCCATTTTGTGATGATGTGGTTCCTGATGAGGATGTAATTCACCTGTTCAATCCCACCTACATTTGAAACGACCCCGGCATCAATCTCCTCATCAGTGAGGGAGTCAGCTGGAAACCCAGCTGTTAGAGCAATCAAGGCTTCGGAAGTGGCATCTTTATTGATAACGATGATCTCGTCCGAAACATCAGCAGCACTTTGTCTTTGCTCGGTCGCAGCTGTAGGATTATAAGGTCCACCGTTGGCTGTTGAAAAATTGGGATTTTCCGACAGGGTTCCGATAAATTGTATGTTGTTGTTGGTGTATGCCTGGTTCGACGCCGTCGTGCTACGGGGACGACCTTGCCTCCGCTTCCGAGGAATGGAGAGAGATATCACTTGCTGGGTGATCGAGGGAGAATTGGAATTAGGGTTATGGTCGTGAATTGGGATTGAATTGGAATTCAGGTTAGGGTTTGGATGGGCATTGGAGTGCGGCAAATGGATTGTGAAGTGCAGCGGGTTGTTACTGGTAATGTACGGGTTGTTCTGGTTGGGGGCTTGGTGTGGTGGATCCATTGGTTTGTTCGTTCGTGAGCTGCGCACTTCTTCATTCAGTACAATGCTTGAAGACGACGACCCAGAAGGGTAGACCCGAATTGATTGCCACAATCCGGATCTCTTTTATGTGACTTCATAAGATTTGAAATGACAAATTTATTTACTGGTAATGTACGGGTTGCATTTCTTTTTTATGCAACTTCATAAGAATGTAAATTATTACTCCAAACTTTTTTAATGTTTGTACATGCAATTTTTATTTACATTATTTTTATGCGTTAACAAATTAAAAATATTTACGTTTATAGTTGATATAAAGTTTTTGTTAAGATAGCTTAAATCATTTTGATTTGTTTCGATCCCAAAATAAATGGGGCATTAAATTTATATAATAACACCATTTTTTTTTTTGCAAATTGAAGTAAAATATTTGATAAAAAAATCAAATGAGAAAAGAGTTCAAACAAAGTGAGTAATAATTATGCTTGTAGTAATATTAATAATAACAACAATAGTAATAATAAAAGAAGAAAAAAAAATCTTTCGGGATACGTTTTTTTAAATATTTTAAGGTACTCCAAATTATATTTTAGAAAATGATGGGATTCAAAAGCTTTTATCATTCGGAGTATGAAGTACCAAGCAATAAATCTTTGGAAAAGATAGATGAAAAGATAACAGAATAAGTGGCAACGGATGGATGGAAAGTCCCCCGCAGTTAGTTTTTGTATTTCCTTTGTCCTAAATTATTTGTTACATTTCTATTACTGAGGCAAAATATCAAGTTTTTTCAATTCATTTTATTTACATATTGGTAAAAAATAAAAAATAAAAATTACATATCAAAAAATTACATGAAAAGTTTTTCGAAATAAGAGGTGTCAAGAATATTTTATTTTTTCAAATAACCAATGAAAACGTAGAAATAAACAAAAGTTCTCGCGATTGTTGAAAAAACAAATGTGGCAAATAATTTGGGACGGAGGGAATATATTTTAGAGTACCAGGGATATATGAGAAATGCTAGATCCACAAACAAAATGGTCACAAAATTCACAAATTTACTATTTGTAAACTTCAATACATAAAATTAAATAGTCTAAAAAGAGTAAAAATAAAAATTTAAACCATAAATGATAAGTTTGTGAAGTTTGTGATCATTCTATTTGATTTTTGAAAACGACGAGATTCGAGAATTTTTATCATAAAATTGGGAATAAAAATCAATGATTTTTTTTTTGAAAAAAGCCTAAACATGGAACCAGTTTCACACTCACCATTATAGTTCATGACTTCATGAGCTTGGCATGAGATGCCCAGAATTCAAGCTTAAAATGATATATGAGAGTTCGAATTTGGTTCCCAATTCCAAACCTCAACAAATCAAATTGAATCCAAACTCAATCAATTTTCGAATCGAGCTCGAAGATAGAATGCTTCTGCTCGAATAAAAGCTCACTCTGCATTGACTAAGTAGCTAGCGAAATCGCATTTTCCACAGTGAAAGAAAGAAGTTTCAGAAACACGGGAAAATAATCAGGTAGTTTTCCTTTCTCATTTTAATTCCCGACCTTCGTCTTCGTTGTCCTGCCCTCTGCGTTGTTCTACTTTGCTTTCTCAGGATCTCTCACAATTTTTTTTATCCATCCTTTTCCCGCGTTCGCGGCATCGCAGATCTGAACAGGTATTTTTATTGAACTGTACTTCCATAAACATAGTCCTCAGTATTTGCCTCTGTATGCGTCTTCTTATCTTTAAGGAATGCGTAATTTGAATAGTCTTCATTTATGTATGCACAGAGTTGACTTGCAGGAGGATTTGTGTTTGGTTGAGCTTAGTGGACTGAGATGGGACTCTTTGATGGACTTCCCATTCCAAGAGACAAGTCGGTGAGTTTCCATTTCACCTTGGTTTAAGACCATCTTTGCCTTGTATAGTTTTCAATTGTTTCTGGATTTGAAGTTACTAGCCAATATTATTATTGCCCTTGTTGCTGCAATTGAGGAAACAGCTGTAGTTCCATATTGGTTTTGGTATTGTCAATTTGGCAATGCTTCATTATTGTCAGTTGGGTCAGTCTTCGTTGGTCTGCCACTTTGTTACGTGAAGTTGAATATGCCTGTTTTTTCTTCTAGTGTGCTTAGCTGCAGATTGTTTGCTAGAATTTAGTTTTCATTCTGGTCGTACTTTATGTTGGATGCAGTACTTAAGGGAAGAGTTGTCTAAGATAGATGAAAGTTGGGCAGCTGCACGTTTTGATTCTCTTCCACATGTCGTGCATATTTTGACCTCAAGAGACCGCGAAGGTGAATTGCAGGTTTTACGGGAACAGAATGAGATAATTGAGGATGTTGTGGATGAAGTAGTGCACACATATCATGGTGGCTTCAACAAAGCAATTCAAAATTATTCCCAGGTGTTAAATAGGTCTTCATTTCATTCTTATTTACTTGTACTTTTCTTGGGTTGTATCTTCTTTCTTATTTGTGTAGTAAAGTCATGTAATCAATCAATCCATATTTCCCAAAAAGTTCTGTTAATCCTTTCAATTTGACTTCATTTTAATATAGTTTGAACTATATTTCTTAATCAGCAGTTTGATTTATGCAACAAATATGCATTTTTTTGGTGTGTGTGTGCGCGCGTGTGTCATGAGGGCCATGAGGCCATGCTTTTCATGTGTATAACCCAAACTATTTTTATAAAGTATGTGAGCTGTGGTTCAGCTCTTGGAGTATTGAGAAATGACCAATTGATTCCATGTCCCACAAAGTTTTCTCCTTTATATGTGTATTTCCTAAGAATGTGAGTGTTACATCCTTGCAGTTTAGTGAAAATCCAGAATCTTTCCAATTTTAGACACAATTTTTTTCTCGAGTTTTGCAAGTACTTGGACTAATAGAAAATAATAGACCAAGCACCACTGTACCAGTCCCAACTCCCAACTAAATACATGTTTGTTTTTTTAGTGCTATTAAATACAGAGTACATGTTTGTTTTGTTTTTCCTATAATGTAAGTATCTCTTTATTGCTGGTATTATCTCTTTCTTTTCATCTTCCCTGCAAGATATGAGATGTTCAATAAATGTTGCATGGGAGTTGTAACAGAATGTATATTAATGAATATTTAGCACTATTTTCATCCTATGCAGATCTTGCGGTTATTTACTGAATCCGCCCAAGGCATTGCTGTTCTGAAGGGCGATTTGTCTGAAGCAAAGAAACTTTTGGGTACCCATAACAAGCAGTTGCATCAGTTATGGTATCGCTCGGTCACTCTGCGGCATATCATAGCTCTCTTAGATCAAATTGAAGGCATAGCTAAGGTCAACTGCTTTTGTTTTCCTATTTCTACTATGCTACACTTTTTCATCTCTATTTCTTTACTGAGCTATTTTAAGGTGTTATTATTTTACAGTTTCTGTAATGATGATAGTTTTAAATTCCAAGTGTTTTTTTGTCAGAAAGAAGCGGAGTAGATGTATAGAAATAAAAAATGAAATAACAAGTACAAATTCTTCATAACAATGAAGGCTAGAAACCCCAATCAAGGTGTGGAAGCCTATGTTTATTGTTGAGTATATGATATACATTATATAGAGTATAGACTATAGAGAAATAAATTAGTCACACTTAAACTAGTCATTTGAATTTTGAAAACTGCCCAACAACAAACTGAAAAACATATTTTTTTTTGTTTTTCATAATCTTGTTTTTAGCTTTTCTTTAAAGACAAGAAAGGGAAGACACAAAGCATAAAGTGGTACCAAACAAGCCATAAACTTCAGGTTTTTAATAAAGAAGAGTCCATTTTTCATTGCAAAGATCACCATGATATTACCTCATGGTCAAATTTGGATCTGGATCCAACTTGAAATAGAACTTTAGGACTCATTCACATTCTCTTTATGATACTGGCAAATTTGTGCGGTCAATTTATCCAACTAGATTACATTTACAACTCAGGTTCCAGCCCAGATTGAGAAGCTAGTTGCTGAAAAGAAGTTTTATGCTGCAGTGCAGTTGCAAGTTCAATCAGCTCTGATGCTTGAAAGAGAGGGTCTTCAGACGGTTAGTCCTTCTAGACAATCATTTTCATTCATTAGTTCTTTCAATTTTTGATGGCTCACTACGACATATCTGCTTGAAAGCATCTTATATGACAGCATCTGATATGACATTCTGTCGCCAATTTTGTAAATCATGGCATGTACATATTGTTTTATTTAGAAGTTTAATATAGTACTCCCATCTTCTCAATTTATTAACAAGCTAAGGATTTCATCTATCTAAGGCTATGTATATTTGTTTACTCCCTCTGTCCCCAATTAATCGTCCCTTTTCGAACATCGTGCAAAAACTCATCTCTTTTGAAATGATTTTATTTACAAATCGGTATTAAAATAAATAGTACAAATTACATATTTAAAAACTACATCAAATGTTCTACAAAACAAGTGGTGACATGCCTATTTTAATTTATGAAATGATCAATAAAAACGCATACACAAACAAAAGTTAGCGGAAGCCTGGAATAGTAAAAAGGATGATTAATTGGGAACGGAGGGAGTATATATTCATTTAGTCTTAAGGGCAATGCTACGTGTACATCACCCATAGCACTGAAAGGGTTTAGGTTTTTGACATATAGCTTTATTTCTTCTTTTACATATTTGTTAGTTCATGCTCATTTAAAAATCATGGTGAAGAGTCTCAAAAAAAACCATGGTGAAGTGATCTCACACTTGCTCTCCTCCCCAGGTTGGTGCTCTACAGGATGTCAAGTCTGAGTTGACTAAGCTTCGTGGAAATCTGTTCTACAAAGTTTTGGATGATCTGCATGCACACCTTTATAATAAGGGTGAATACAGGTTAATAATGTATACCTCTGCAACATAAAAAAAAATTGTAAATCATTTACATGAATGGCTCCACCAGGTAAAAATAAAATGACCTTTAGGATCTACTTTTTTCATTCTTTTCGGTCACAGTTTCCTAATTATATAAATTCTAATGTCTAAAATTTCAGTTAAGTTTTTGAAATCATGAGCATTTGCTTGTTTCACAGTTTCTGCTATTTCTATGAAGAATGTACATAAACCGAATTTCTTTTTATAATGCAGTCCAGCCTTATTAAATGTTTGTGAAAAGGATGATGAAGTGTCAACTAGAACAGTTATTGCGTTGTCTCTAAACAACTCGCAACCTCTATCCCGAAGAACTAGGTTATTAAAAGGCGACAATCAGTTCAGCTTGTTTGGAGTTGATGGATCTAAGGGACCTAGTTCTGCTGATGGGGGGTAAGAAAAAGCTTGTATATATTGACACAATCTTCTGCTAATCATGCTATAAAGCACCGTGTTTTCTTTGATGTTTCTTTTTCATCATTTTCATCTTCAAACACTATTTGACCCTTCCTTTCACAGCATTTCCATGGATTTAAAACTTGAATCACTATTGATAGCTTGGTATATACTGAAAATGGTCTTATGTTGGCTGGATGGTTTATATTTTTGGACTGACAATTACTCTAATACACATTTGAAGTTTCTTTTAGAAAGTGTTGGATGCAAAATGTTGTAGTGTTATTGATACTTAAGGACTTTCACTTACCATCCCCTTCTGACAATATCAGCTCATTATTTGATGTTCATGATGACGGTGGTGTTCTAGAGCATGATGATTCTACATCAGAAGGTTATACCAATATAATAAGGGACAATGGTGATATTGGTCTGAAGAATGCCAAGATCATTTCCCGACAAATTCCCAAGTGGCTTTCTGATTCTACTCCTGATGAATTTATTGTACGTTTATGCTTTAATTACAGTGGTTAATATTTTCATTCTTTGGGGGGTGGGGGTGATACACTCCTGACACCGGATAACGGTGTTTTCCAACAGACGTTGCCCTAACAAGGCAAACAATAAGTTTCTAATCCTCTACGCAAGTATAACGTAGCAACACGAGATTTGGATTTCCTAAACCTCAAGTTAAATGATATTTAACTTGATAACTAAAGAACTCTCGAAGTGTTAAATGTCACACTTAATTTCACTCAAGAGAAAACCTCTTCTTACTACCAAAATGGTGAAACATTATCATTTAATTGCCAAGTTCCAAGCTGTTTTTACAATGGGAGAAATGAACTTATCATTGGAAAATAGGCTACTTAGCACACTCACTTTACAAGCTAATTTAATTTAAATTAAATTACAAATATCAAACATAAATCTATTCAAATCCTAATTACACCCTTGAAAGATCTTATGTGTCTTCAAACCTTGAATACTGCCATGCTCCATCACATGGAGATCACATTTAAAATATCAACTTGTTCTTTAATTATACTTTGGCTTCATCTATACACCTTAATCGTGAAAATCCATCAATGTATCCCAAGATATTATTTGTAAAGATTTGGGAGTGTTTTGAAGTGAGAAGAACTATATGAAACATACTTAAAATGTTAAATTAGTGAAACTGCTTGGAACTGGGCAATTCCGGCACCGGTTTACCGACATACTGATGCAGGTTTTTTAAAGTCGGACTTTCACTATGGGTTTCGGACGGAATGCCGGCCCTGGTTTTGTAAATACTAGCGTCATTTTTCTTCCCAGTGAAGTCCGACGTGCAACACCTATCGAATCCAGCGCTGATTGTGATGAATGCCCACCTCTGGTTTTCTCCCCGGACTTGTCCATTCCATTTTCGTTACCCGAAACTATTCAACCATGTGCTAAATGTAGGAAGCAATGAGGAAGAGTAAAGCTCCTTTGCACGTGAAGTATCTGCAGACAATGGTTGAGTGCCTTTGTATGCTTGGAAAAATTGCAGCAGCCGGTGCTATGATATGGTGAGTTGCAGTTTTGTGCTTTGCGTGATTATTTCTTAAAATTCCTGTATTACATAATGAAATTGCAGAAATTTGCAACGTGTTCTAAGTTGGAACAGAAGTTAAATTTGATTTACTATGAGTTCAAATTCATTATCTGCCTTCTTTAACAATTCATCTAATAGATACCTCTTTGTAGTTGAAACTTTAATACTGTAGCAACGGAAGCTTGTATGAATCTGAAGGGCTACAATGTTCTACGGAGTATTACATTTAAAAAAGCATTTTTGGTAGATATTATCTATCTTTGACACTGGCTTCTTTTTCTGTTCTCTGTATTTCCGACAGCCAAAGGTTGAGGCCCACCATTCATGAGATAATTACAACCAAGATAAAATCTCATGCAGAGAACATTAGTAGTTCAAGGCATAACACTGGTCCAACTGCGCATACTGGTGTTACAGATCAATACTCTCTGGAAGGAAAGTTTGAAGATTATCTGCCCCCAAAACAGAATAGCCAAAATGGGAAATTGCTTTCAGGAGTGGTTCACACAGTCAGTCCTGTTTCATCATTAATGGCTCCTGCCGGAGCAGCACAGGTTGCTGTGAAGGAGCTTCTTGATTCAATTTTGGATGTTGTTGGTCATATATTTGGTCAGTAACACTAAACTTCAGAATTTCATTGTCATTTTTTTTGTAATAATGGGTTCCAAAAATTTGACTGCTACAATATTTTTGTTTTGACTTCTTCACACGGCCTTGTGCAATGTTTCAGAGAATCATGTTGTTGTTGGGGAGCTTTTTGAGTCAAAATCCTCTCCACAGTTTGACTCAAACACCCCAAAATCTATGCCAACAAATATTAACTGGAATCCAGACACAGACATATCTAATTATACTGGAGGCTATAGTCTTGGTTTTTCCTTGACTGTGTTACAGGTATTATTCTTTTGCTTTGTTTTTCACTTTTATTTATTTTCATCTTCATTCTTTTACTATCTGGTTGGCTAGTTTCATTCATTATACATGCCTATATACTCACCAATGCATTTAAATCTATGATTTATTCTATAACTTTGTAAATAGAGTGAATGCCAACAACTGATCTGTGAGATTCTACGAGCGACACCAGAAGCTGCTTCTGCAGATGCTGCTGTCCAAACAGCTAGACTTGCAAGCAAGCCACCTTCGAGGGATAAGAGGCAAGTAAATGAGTAGCCAATTGCTATTCCTGTAATCTTCAAGTGCTATTTCCATTTTTGTTTCTTTACAGTTTATACTTTCCGTTTCTGAACTACTTGCTTGTTACTCCCTCCATCCAAAAATTATCCTCTCGTTGCGCATTACGATGTTTGCCTGAAGATATTTTCAAATCATTTTATAAGAAGAATGGTGTGGAATTAAAAAAATTACATATTTAAAAACTACATCAAAAGATCTACAAAACCAGAGGTAACATGACTATATTATTTTATCAAATGGGCAACGAAAATAGGCCAACATAGTGAATAAAGTTTGGCCCTATGAATAGTGATTGAGAAGTTAAGTTTTGGACGGAGGGAGTATTATTTTGGGTTGAGAGATTTATTTATTTTGTGCGGGATGGGTGGGGAGTAGTGGTTTGAAGGGCAAGAGCAGTTTTGGCTAATCCTCTATGGGTCTACTGCATTCCTGATTGCTATCATTTGTAAAGCACTTTCAACTAGATACATCCACTTCATCACAAAATTATAATAAGTTTTTAAATCATTGGGTTTTGAGCTTTCATTTGATAAAAGTTAGTGCAGATATGTTTTAATTACTCTTATTTTCCGTTTTCTGTGGATGAAACAGTTAGTAATGATTCCTCTGGCATTAAAACCTTTACCACAGTGGCGATTTCCAGAGATCAGTTTTTTTTTTGTTTTTGTTTTTGCTTGACCTGTTTTGGTTCTATTGTGTATTTCACCACGGATGTGGAACATGGCTTCTTTGTTCCCAAGGCCTTTGGGTATTCCCTATCTGGAAATCCCTATATCTCTGTGAAATAATTTGAAATGAGAACTGGAGAAAGTCGATTAGCTATAATGTTACCTGTTGGGAAGTTTAAAGGATATATTATGTTTTTATTGTATTTTTCAGTTGCCTCCCACCCCACAGTTGCTCTGTGCAGCAAACCCGTTTGATGTGCTCTTATCTCTCGTATTTTGTATTTTCAATGACAGGCTTATTTTGAATTTTCAATTTCAATTTTTTATTGATCACAGAGATGTACCAGAAGATGGTCTTATTTTTGCTTTTCGCTTCACAGATGCTACTGTGTCCATTCCAAACCAGGGTAAGTAAGCATGTGTTGGTTCTTCAATACATCTTTTTTTATGTTGAGATGTGACTTGTTGGTATTTTTCTATATATATCAGCAGCCAATGAATTAATATTGGTGGGATCTCAATGGCTACATGAGACATCATAGAGAAGAAATGGTTGTAAAAATGTAAAATGGGTTAATCTAACATTGCCATGTATCTCATTGAGATATATTTCTTAATTTCTTTGCTTCTTTGTATGATCTTTATCAATCAGTATGAGTCTGCGATATTATGCAAGAGTATTATCTTTCTTTGACTATTGATTATCAGGAGTTGACCTCGTCCGGCAAGGATGGAACAGGAGGGTAGCAAATGTACACAATGAAGGTTATGGTACTACAGCTATTTTACCTGAGCTGGGAATATATTTAGCAGCATCCGTATATCGACCTGTTCTTCAGGTAAACAATATCATAGCTTTTTGAGTTTGCTCATGCGAATTCCATGACCAATTTTTTTTTTTTTTGGTAGTTTACAGATAAAATTGCTTCAATGCTGCCTCAAAAGTACTCTCAACTTGGGTAAGCTATGTTCCAATTGTGCCTCACTTTGTGTATGTGGTCTGTTACATTTTTCTTTAGATATATATTCCTAACTGTCCCTAACCCTTTCCACTCCTCTTGCTTAATTAGGACTTGTAGTGTTAGCAAATATCAGGTGAAGATTTTGGCTTTTTGCTCGAAAACAATTAGTTTGAATATTTGACATTATGTTTGCATAATTATGTGATTATGTCTATCATCAAAAAAATTATGTGATATTGTTGTATTCATCTTATGTGTTTCCTTTAAGTGGATCTAGTGATTTGAAGTCCATTAAAACCCAAATTACGGAGTAACAATTACATTTAGGACAATATTGCAATTTGCTAGATCAGAGGTGAAAGACATAAATAGATGAAGACATTGTAGGGTAGCTTGTGAAGGATATTTAATGTGTTGATGGATTGAATTAGACCAGCTTTGAGATGTTGGGCTCTGCTAAATAGAAAGAAGTAATGTAGTGTGTTTCAGTATGGACCTGGTCAGTTGTTTAATTCAGTTTAATTGTTTTCTTGAGCAAAATGAATGATAAGATATAAATGGGCTTTGTCTGTCGCTACATGTATTCTACATGGAGTTTTGTGAAAGATGGGGTAGGGATATTGCATTATATACATAAAAAATACTCCGTATAAAATTCATAAAATGAAAACAGCAATTTCATTTTATAAATTAGAATTTCAACATAAACCAAACCAATATTCTTCAAATTATATAACAAAAAACGAGCTTAATTTATTTCTTTGAAGAATCGAAATGCAGAGTAACAAGAAAAAACATTACCAAACATTTAATGCACAAATTGAGGTGAATGATTCACCTCACCTAACTTAGGTTGATAAAATAAAAATGATTACCCAATAAGAGAAACAAGGTTAAAGCAAAACTCACATTGGTAGAACTAATATTATCTAATCATTATCTTTAAGCACTATTGTTAAGCCAGTAAATTCAAGTACTATTGTTACCCTTCAAAATCATGAATCTAGTAACCAATTAATATCAAACCCACTTGGTCAACACTTCAGAGCTTCTTCATTTGCAAGTGGTGGTTCCCCGGATATCCAAACTTGCTACTTTATTTACTGTTTGCATGGCTTGAAACAATTTATATGGTATTTAGTTCGTTCTATATTTATTATACATATTCTAAAGCGTGAATTTTCTAGTTAAGTGTTCCGAAGCCAACATCCGGTGTGATGTTGCTATGTTATGCTCCATTGTTTCTAATATAAGAGATAATTGTTGAATGTTTGGACGGTGTTTGCAGGAATGATGGGTTGCTGGCATTCGTAGAGAACTTTGTGAAGGATCACTTTTTACCAGCAATGTTTGTAGATTACAGGAAAGCTGTACAGCAGGCCATAGCAAGCAAGTCTCATGACCACCCTCCATTTGCCATAGTTGAAAACAAAGAAATTAATAATGATCAACTACAAGTGTAATTTATGCATCAATTTAATGTGACACTTAGGGTGATAGCGGGTAGGGCCATAGGGTGCCTACCCATTTAACATTTCCTTCCAATACCTGTTTAATTTAAATTCCCACCTCATATACTCGTCCATCCCATTTCTAAGAGACCTAGAAATACTTGAATGTGGCAGCGTTCCGCTCAACTTATTTTTTCTGCTTATTACTTATTCTTCTTACAATCAGATCAAACCAGATCAAATCAGATTAGAAACAACTTTATTATAACTGCAATCAGATCAGACCAAATCAGACCAGATCAGATCTTCAAAATATCAGATGAGATCACGCGAACGGAACGCAACCTGTGTCCCATTTAGTGCCCCCTTTATGCCCCATTTTTCAAACACCCGTTTTAATCTGACTCATTTTTAAGCAACATAGCTAAATATTCTCAATCACAACAACCCAATATAATCCCAAGATGTACACGGTCTTCCTATCTAAAAATAGAGAGGGTTTTCCTTTAGACCATGGATAGACCCTAAAAATTCAATAATCAGTAATCAGATTAATCACATGATATTTTTTATTTAGTATTTATGGTTTAACGATTTATCATATTTTTGTTTATAGTTTACTAGTTTAGCAATTTTATATCAGGATCTATTCACTTAGCTTATATACCGGGTTTTGGGGCACAGGTATTTAGCATGCCATACCAATCCAGTCTCAAACCCCATGTTTTCATTTTCAATATCACAGGATCCCATTACTATTTCTTTAACATAAATCAATATAGACATTGTAAACTAAACTTTATGTCACAACTGACAGTAGTGATTGATTAGTCTGATATTTTAAAATATTGATTTACAGGTCCAGCTGCATTTCGACCACGAGCTCATGTACCTGCTTACACTACTTCAATTGAGAAAGGACGGCCTGTCTTACAAGGACTTTTGGCAATAGACTTTTTAGCGAAAGAGGTATTTGTTAATGACTTATGTGGGATATTTAAGATGCTATATGGTCCGAGCTTGTGATACTTGTACTCTTGAAAAGTGCTAACCAAAGAAAAATAAAAATATGAACCAAAACTAACTGATTTTGTATGTGTTCTTGAACTGTCTATTCCATTTTGACATGTCACATTTACAGCCTTATTTTAATTTTTTTTCTTGCTTACTAGTTTTAATCAAACTCCTGCACTGACGTTTAGTCATTATGAAGGTGCTCGGCTGGGCTCAAGCAATGCCTAAATTTGCAGCTGATCTTGTGAACTATGTGCAGACCTTTCTCGAAAGAACATATGAAAGATGCCGAACTTCGTACATGGAGGCAAGAGTACCACATGATATTCCGTTTACTTTATTTTGTTTGGTCATGGTTTCTATTATTTATATCCATCTTGTGAAATATAGAGGGGTTATTGATATTCTATATCTCACAAGCTACACATGTTCTATAATTATATACAATAATATTCATCTTGAGCCAAGTCCACTACCACTAGAGTTGGGGTTGCAAATTTCACTACTCCTTGAGCTAGAGCATAAAAATCATATGTGTCACACTTGATACAAAATCTCAATTCTAGTACATCTAAGATATTTAATCAATATATCTGCCAATTGGTTAGTTGGGTTAACAAGGCTTGTATTTATGTTTGCGGACATGGTCTAATCCTCGATGAAGTAACAATAAACATTAACTTTGATATTTGTCCCTCTCGCGGTACAATTTGGACAAAGTTCAGATGTTGCTTGGTTGTAAGTAAGTCTTGTAACTTGTAAATCTGTAATATATTGTCATTTGTGTAATGCTGTCGGGTAAAAGCTAGAGTTCTAGACAACATGAATTTAGAATCCGTATTACTAACCAATAGGTCTACAGCCACGCATACGATTTCTTCAAGAGCATTCAATGCATACATCCATTGGGAGATCTCAATATCACTACTCAAGTTTGCTTGACTAAATTTGGGAAGGGGTAAAAGGGATGTGTTTAAGATAAACAAACTAATCAAAAGAATTAAAAAGATGTAGTGTGTGTCACATGGAGTGTTTCCCATCCCAAATGCGACAAAGGACCTTTAACAACTACAAATTGGAGCTTTTGGGTGGTTAGCGTAGAATTTGGTGATTTTTTCCCTCCCTAAATATCCCTTACCTTTTTAAGAATGCCTACCTTTTTAATTCCTCAAATAAGTTCCTTTATAAGTAATTTTACATTACAACAGCTCAAACGAACACTCAAAACACAATATTTCTCAAAAGTTCTAACAGCTACAAACTGCTCAAAGGCCTCATGAAAATAATTTCGAGTATAAATATATCTGAATATTGTACTACATATATCACTAGTAGATATAGATATCAATTGTCAAAGTGTTGCATTGAAGATGGTGAAAAATCAAATGAGATTTTTCTTAAAGAAGAGGGAGCGTTAAATTACAAAGAGTCTTGAACCTAAACCTCCTCAGTCCTCACAACCATTTTATCCCCAATTATTGGGGCTTAGCTCTCACTAACTCAGTAATGGCTTTGGAGCAAAGTTAGTGAGAACCTAACTTTCTTTTTCTCGCTTGCTTCTCTATTTTGATTATCTTGTTGTTTGGTGTACATCTCTTTCCCATTAATACTAACGTTTCTTAGATGCTCCCTAAACTCATTGGAAACTCCATCAAGGTCACTCGATTTCTGACACTTCATCATTTATAAGTCTTCTCAATTTTTAAAATTGGATTCTTTGCATATAGTTTCTACTTTTATTAACCTCCTCTTCATGAATACAAATGTTGCACTTGGCTTTCATTAAATCATTCTCTAAGTATTATTTCTATCCATTACTCTATTATTTGTCTCTCTTAAACGAGGGGCATAAGGTGTGCGTACACACGTTGTGGGATCAAACTGGGTTGTTATTGTTGTTTTTGTAAACAAGGAGGGGTGTTTTTAGACTTAGATTCTTATCCTCGCTGCATTTTAACCTCAACACTATAGCCACTAGCTGCAAAATTGTGTATCCTTGATTCCTCAAAATGAAGTTAGCCACATAAATTCTCATTTGTTAACACTATTAATATGCAAGCTGTTATCCTTAAAGATGTCAGTTGCTTGAAACTATTAATTTGAGTTTCTTGATTGCTTCATTGCTTTCTCTGGTTAAAAATACCTATTTTGACTTGTGCCTACATGCCCTACAAATGTTTGGCCAGTTCACTTTAACATAAAATGCTAAATTATTACAACCTCATGTTTTGGTTGCTTTATCAGGCAGTTCTTGAAAAGCAAAGTTATATGCTCATTGGAAGACATGACATTGAACAACTAATGCGACTTGATCCAGCCAGTGTGTGTTTACCAAGTTCTCTTGGTTATTCAAACTTAGAAAGTAATGCTTCTGGTGCTGGGGATACAGAGATTGAGGTTGAAATAAGTGATATATTACTGAAGTTGAGGCCGATCAAGCAGGTATTTGATATACGATTTTTATTTCATAGACAAGATCGTGTGCTGTTAGAATAATTGATGTTCAAGTCTCTCACAAGGTTAAAAAACACAAATATATGCCCATGACATGCTAAGTGCATAAAATCAATGGCTGTATTTTTCAATTTGAGTCTCATTTTAAGAAAATAGAAAACAAGCACTTCCTCCATCCAACTTAGGAATTCCAACTTGTAGTAACTACAGGTTGGAATTTTCCGGCAGGATGGAGGAAGTAAACTATTAGGGGATGAGGTGATGGAGGTGTGTGGGGAGTGGGGGTGGGGGCACACACACGGATAAAGAGAGAAAGATTAGTACGAATTAACCACTCACCAATCATTTTAGGTGTAGTTTAGATAAGTCAAACTTTATATAGTTAAGCACATGTTCTGTGAATCACATGAAGTTAAAATGATTGGTGGGAAAACAGAAAGGGTAGTGTCCACCACTCCACCTTGATGTTGTTTTGCATGAAATTCAATTATCGATTACATAATTTCTAGGAGAACTTGATCCGTGATGATAACAAGCTTGTTCTGCTGGCATCCTTGAGTGATTCATTGGAATTTGTTGCAGATTCAATAGGAAGGCAAGTTCTTAAAGCCCATTAGCCATTACATTTTTTTTATTAGTTGAAATATTGTTTTATAGTTTATGCCCATGCGTTTATTTTTAGTTACGGAGTACATTATAAGATTATTCATTGGCAGGAAAGGAAAATACATTCATTTAACCATTCCATTCTTTTGATTAAGTATCATATTCTTGTCGACTTAGCATGATCATGTTTTGCTTATTTTAGTATTTTACAATATCAATATTGTTATGACTAAAGAGACATGACTATAGCAAGAATATCAACTTGTTGCAATCTCATGATATTTTCCATGCAAGTGAAAAAACCTATAATGATGACCCAAGTTGCACGGAGACGGGGACAGGGTTGGGAATGGGGAAATACCAACTTTTCCAAAATTTACGAAGGGTTTGTATGGGGGGACATCTCCATGTATCCAAACGGGGATGTTTCGGGGACATGAAGCGACACATATTTGAAGAATCTATGCAACATAGATGATGACTACTGAAATTTCATCTTATTATTCCCTCATAAGAAGAACGCAACATGAGGGGCAGTAAAACTATGCCACTTTTTTTGGGATACATTTGTAGTCATGTAGTGTTCACGAGTGTTTGACAATTAATTGACAATATAAATTTCATGCCACTTCTTTCCATCATCTCCGATGGAGCCAAAATTTCACCTGTTTTTGGCTTTGGGGTGTGATGGAATAAATCAAAATGGATATCTAAACTATTTGCGCTTCTTTAATTAATGAATTAGCAGTTAGTCAAGCAATGCAACTTTCGACGTTGAGCCGGGGGTCTCTTTGGAAACAGCCTCTCTACTTTCGAGTAGGGGCAAGGTCTGCGTACACACACCCTCCCCAGACCCTACTCTTGTGGGATTTAACTGGGTTGTTGCTGTTGTTGTTGTATAAATTTCATGCCACCGCAGTACCGCACCAACGTAGTTGGGATTGAGGCAGTGAGGACGATTTGTATAGGTCTTTTGGTGGATGATTTTTTAAATAAAAATGATCATTTTAGACATATCATAGGCATCATTAGGAAGCACTATGATAGAGATGTATGTAAAATGAGCATTAATATTCTTACTTTATCAGAATAAAGGATTTGGAGGTACAACCTATAGGTATTATTGTTCTTACTAATACTGTAGGAAGCAGCAAAAAAGTTGACAGTCTTAACTTTGAGTTTTTAAAAACTTTTTACTTAATGGGGGCAAGATCCTTTCTAAATGTTCAAAATTTAAATCTAATTTATACTTCTAGACCAAGTAAATTTCTTGTTTATTTACTAGGCTTTCAGAAACAAGTGGTCAAGCTACCAATCAAGGAAAGGAGGATGGGAATAAGAAGACTCACAAGCATTCTAGGACAACAAGTTCCCCCCCTAAGGATTTGGCAGCATTTGCTGAAGAATATAAAAAGTTATCAGTAGATTGCCTCAAGGTTCTGCGTATAGAAATGCAGCTGGAGACTATTTTCCACATGCAAGTTCGTGGCACTTCCGGATCCTATTTCTTATTTTTCATTTGGTTCTGCATTTATATTTTCATCCTATCCGTTTTTTATTAATATTGTATACAGGAAATGACAAGTAAAGATTATCTAGATGACCAAGATGCAGAAGAACCTGATGATTATGTCATTTCATTAACATCCTTGGTTAGCAAAGTTCTCTCCAATCCTTCACCAGATAGTTACCCCCTCCCCCTTTCTAGTCTTACAAGAATCTATTTTGTTTTATTGATTATAATTTAAACTGTTGTCTTCCCTTAAAAAAATCATTCACCATTCACATCCAATTTTTTCTTCTAGACTAGAAGTTAATATTTGCTGCCACTATTCCCTTTGTAAAATGATTGATATTATTACCACAGATAACACGTCGTGATGAGCAAATGTCACCTTTCATCAACGGATTGAAGAGGAAGTATGTTTTTGGTGGAATTTGCAGTGTTGCGGCAGATGCTTCCATAAAGGTCTTCATCTTAAACTATCATTTGTACCATTCTTTTCCCCTTTTTTCCTTTTGTTTTCACGTACTCATATTCATTCCTCCTTGCTGATGAGTAGCGATACTATTACTGGTTGACTTACAGGCTTTGACTGATATAAAATCTATCAATCTATTTGGAGTTCATCAGATACGGCGCAACTCAATAGCACTCGAACAGGTTGCCTTTTTTTCCTTTTCCTTCTCTTCTCCTTGTTAACTTCTTGGCTAAGACTTTTTTTTTTCTAAAATTAAAATTAATCAGGCGCTTGCTGCAATCCCCTCAATAGACAGCGAAGCTGTGCAGTTGAAATTAGATCGCGTCAGAACATATTATGAATTGCTAAACATGCCATTTGAGGTGATCATCAATCTTCTCTGGTTGCAAATTCCCAATTACAATAATATTTTTAATTTTCCCATGCAATTCAACCCTTTTCTTCTTCAGGCTCTGCTTGCATTCATAAATGAGCATGCTGACCTGTTTACAACTACAGAGTGAGTTTTATGATGGATGCATGCATACATACATACATTCATCCTTATCTACATATGTACTTCCTCCATTCCATATTAACCGTCTATTAACACTTTTTTGATACTTTAAAACACAAATGAATGCAGACATACTTTATGTCTAGATTCATTCACTTTTCAACGTATCTAGAATGTCATAATGGACAGCTAATACGGAATGGAGGGAGGATGTTAGTACGGCAGTACGCACATACCTATATAGGTAAGTCCATACATGCAGAAGTGTCTCGTAAAAAGAAATCAAAACACTTTTTTCAAAACTTTTGTAGGTATTCAAGTCTTCTAAAGGTAGAGGTTCCAGGAAGAGAAATTCCAGGTGATGCAGAGGCTCACCTGAATGAGATATTACGCGTCTAGAATTCCCAAACCGACGAGAAAATTCGTCTGTCAGTTACAGCAAGTAAAATACTGCACAGTAAGTAATAGAGTAAGAGTGAAATTCCATGTAGCATCAAATTTTCACGTTTCCCCTATATTCTTTTGTGTTTTAGTTTTTAAAATAGTATAGTTTGTGTGTAAATTTCCTTCGTGAAGTATTTACTACATTGGCAAAAACAGTGTTGGTTCAGGAGCTTGTAAAAATCATCTTTGTATATTTTTATTTTCGGTAGAAAGTGTGGGTAAAAAGTGTTTTCGTATACACCATGGTTTTGTTGATTCTATTAAGAGTAAATTCCATAATTGGTCCTTTATGATAGGGGAGTTTCCATATTTAGTCCTCTATTATCAAATATTACCTCCGTAGTCCTTTTTTTAAGGGTACGTTTCCACAAATAGTCCTTTTTTGATCTTCTGTCGTGTTGATGTTAATTTAAAGGCTAAAAGTATAATTCGACATCAACATTATGTTTAGTGACGTGTTCTGATATTGGTTAAGCGGATAACACAAAAATAATGACTATGGTTGTGGGCTAGGGTTCTGACGAAAGACCACATTTGTAGACTATGATTGTAGTAGAAAGCGATTGTAATTCACAAACAACGCAAACGGAACAGCCTTTGAAATTGTTTATGACAAAAAAGATATATTATCATTGTGAAATTACACTTTTAGCTCTCAAATTAACACCAACATGATAGAAGATCAAAAAAAAGACTATTTGTGGAAAGATACCCATAAAAGAAGGACCACTTGGATAATATTTGATAATAGAGGACTAATTTGGGAAACTCCCCTGTTATAAAGGACCAATTATAGAATTTACTCTTCTATTAATTATGTACTGTGTATAGTAGTAGACAATTCCCCAGTATTTATGGTGATATTAAAAAAAAGAATAATTGCATACTATATCTGTCCCTAAATTAAGTTTTTATTTTTGTTTTATGATTTTAAGTTGAAGTAATTTCCTTTCAACTCATGAAAAACAGTGTAAAAAAATTAAATACGGAGTATTTTTTTATTATTATTTACAAAACAATGCAACTATGTTTTAATAGCCGATCACCGAAAAAACACAAACAAAAGATATAAAGATCATACGAATGATGAATGAAATTTTTATTTTGGGACATGAGTAAAATAATTTACATAAAGACATTGGATGGATTTATCAAGAAATAGCTACTTGCGGATAAGATGATTTTGCTATAACTTTCCCCCGCAAATGAGCTTGGCCAAGTTCATTAGGTCAGCTCTACTTCACACAAAATGTTATTCCCAGCATCCTAAATAAAAATTGTTGTTTACTATCCATATGGTTAAAATATAATTTTTTTTCTCTCTATTTTTGTTAGTCATTTGATAAAATGATATAATCATATCAGCATTAATTTTGTAGATCTTTTGATATAGTTTTTTAATATGTAATTTATATTTTTAATTAAACATCATTTTTCATATAAAATGATTTGAAAATAATTTCAACCAAACATCATAAATCGAAACAAACGATTTAAATTGAAGAATAACAATTACTCCGTACTATATATCTTCCATAATTATGAGGTTAACATGATTATTAATAGTGTGAACTTCTGATTTATGTATAATAAAAGAAGAGAAATAATACAGGAGTAATTCATGTTTATGAAAGAAAATTACCTATGAGACAACCTATATTAAAAATAGAAATGAAGCATCATGTTTTATTTTCTAAATAAAAGTTACAATGCCAACAATGTTAATATATGATGCCAAAAATTATTGTAAAATGTCAATAAATAGTGTTATACTATCATAGTGTAAACTCTTATCTGGGATTATAAATATAAAGTTCATGATTTAATTTTTTCTATGTTTTACGCTTATTTTAGGTGAATTTTTTAAACAAAAGAATACTCACTTTGTCCCATAATTATCTTACATGTTTGATTTTGCACGATTTTTAATAAAATGAAATGTGTCCTTATGATTTCTGTAGAAGAAAGAAAAATAATATGAAACACATATTTGTTTTCCTGAAAACAATATAGGAAAAAAATTTGAGACATTCCAAATAAGAAAAGAAATAATCATGAGAAAAAGGGAGTATAATTTTATTGCTTATTATGATACATAGGAAGGGTTAATCAAATGCCGAATAGACATGTGGCTAGAAAAACAGTAGAGCTAAGAAGGCTTGACACTAAGTGATCAAGGACCTTTGCATGAATGATCTCACCGCTATACATGAGAGCGCAATAACGTCGTTTAACCCATGCAGTTGATCCCACCTAGTGAAATAGAGTTTTGTTGTTGTGATATATGGGCTTGTTTGGGAAAAACGTCAGAAGTTAGCGTTAGCATTTTGAAAAGGATATCTGCGGGCAGCGTTTGGCCTTAACATTTTCAAAATTAATCTTCGCCGTTAAAATTTTATCCAAAACGCTAACGCTAATCGAAAATGCTATTCCCAAATAGGCTCATGGTATATTACACCTCCGGACTTCATTTGTTCTTTGATGGAGCAATAACGAGTGCTTTTCTTTCAAAAAAAATATCCAATCCATAACAACAATGCACATGTTAAATGCATCATTATCTCATCTTAATTCACATTATATTTAAAATCTCTTATATTTAAACTAACCATGCATATCCTCTCCATGGCGCCACTTGAAGTTTATTATTAGGGAGAATTAGTTATTTATATTGGAATCTGACACCCGACCTTAATAAAATCAAATCAGATCCAATTACATCAGATAACTTTTTCAAGCCCTTAGGCATTTAGGCAAAAAATACTTTGAAGTCCTTTTCTTTGAACAAAACATGCACAACATCGTCCAAAACAAAACCAAACAAAAAATCTGTAATTAAAAGGAATAAAAAAAACTGCATTCCTCAATATATAGAAGGACTAGAAGATGCTTCAAAAGCAAAAGATGTAAAGCATATGTGACTGAATTCATCATTCTGACAGACTTCTTCAACTTCTTGAAGCTTTATTTGGCCAAAAAGTATTTCAAAGAATGGTACAAATCCTATATGACAAAAGCATTATTGTGACTCTGTGAGGTTTTGGTTATATACTTCAGTAACCAAATTGTGTCGTTTTATCTTTTCATTGTATAACTTTTTCTTGCCAAATATTTGCAAGAAATCTAAGTTCGTGTGGACACACTTTGATGTGTCCACAGCGTTACTATATGTCGAACTAAAGTCATACGGGTCATACGGGAGTTTAACCGGGGACCACATGACTTTATTCCCACATTGAAAAGAGCGAGCGTAATTTCAGTAAGTACATCACATACTCTTATTCTTATCTTGAGTGCTTTCCATCATGGAACTGGGCATTATTCGAAGATTTGAATGTCTCCAGAAACGACTTTCCCTTTTGAAACTCTTGTTCCTTGCGGGACTTGTCCCACTTGTGCTCGCCTGCCAATATCTCCACAATGCGCGGAAGAGCCCGGCTTGCGGCATCGGTGTCAAGGAAAGCAAGACGACACCGTCTGGCAATGAAATCCACTGCAGATTCACAGTATTCATTGCGTGCACAATATGCAACCTCAGCTTCTAAGAAAGGGTACCCGTGTGCCAGCCGCTTACCCAAATTCTCATTCTGCAATGCAAGGAAAATGGAGTCAAGAGTGGAATTACCCGACAGTTTGGTGAGACCTTTTGCCTTCAAAATATGAACACACACATACGCCCGCTTATGTATGTAGAGTTAAGTAGTTAACATTGAATATAAAGTATGAGTAAATTCCATAATTGGTCCTTTATAACAGGGGGGTTTCCATATTTAGTCCTCTATTATCAAATATTACCCCCGTAGTCCTTTTTTTAAGGGTACCTTTCCACAAGTGGTCCTTTTTTTGATCTTCTGCCGTGTTGGTGTTAATTTAAAGGCTAAAAGTATAATTTGACGTCAACATTATGTCTAGTGACGTGTTCTTATATTGGTTAAGCGGATAACACAAAAATAATGACTATGATTGTGGGCTAGGATTCTGACGAAAGATCACATTTGTAGACTATAGTTGTCATAAAAAGCGATTGTAATTCACAAACGACGCAAACGGAACAGCCTTTGGAATTGTGTATGAAAAAAAAGATATATTATCATTGTGAAATTACACTTTTAGCCCTCAAATTAACACCAACATGATAGAAGATCAAAAAAGGACTATTTGTGGAAAGGTACCCATAAAAGAAGGACCACTTGGGTAATATTTGATAATAGAGGACTAAATAGGGAAACCTCCCTGTTATAAAGGACCAATTATAGAATTTACTCATAAAGTATTGAGTAAATTCCATAAATGTCCCTAGTTATTTGTGGTTTTTCATATTTAGTCCCCAATTCTAAGATATTACATAAATGATCCTTAATTTTTGAAAACTATTCTATAATTGATCCTTCAGGGACTATATGTGGAGAAAATATTGTCATATTTGGCCTAAAGGACTATTTATGAAATTGTTTTCAAAAATTTAAGACCATTTATGTATCTTAGAACTGAGGACTAAATACGAAAGCCGGCCATTTATGGAAATTACTCTGAAGTGTTACTGTATATTATAAAAGGCCCTCATATGGCAAGAAGGCCTGCAAAATCAAGACCAAAGCTTGTTCATTCTCATGAGCTAAAATGTAATATTCCATCCGTAGAGACAGAGAGGCACAGAATCCAGTTTCAAAACCTGTTTTTTGTCCCGGAAAAAAAGTGTGATTTTCAACACAAGAAGCTAGTTTTGGTTGAGCTTAATGTACAACAACGAAAACAAACAAAGTAAAATCCCACAAAGTGGGGTCTAAGGAAGGTGAGTGTACACAAACCTTACCTCTAACTAGAGATTAGAGATTGTTTACAAGAGATTCAAACTCAACACACAAACAAACAAGGAAAATAGAAACGGGGAAAATAGGAAAGGAAGAAAGAAAAATTCAAACAAAAAAGGAATGTTAAAGATTATCCCACATTGGAAATCCAAGAGTAAAATAATCAGTATATAAATTCTTGAGTTGAACTAATTGATTGGATTCAATCTTCTAATGTGGTTCAACCCAAGTGTCTTATGACTCAATCCAGTCACCCTTTTCCCATCTTAAATTTTATCAAGGAACAAGCACACACCTAGATCCAACAAAATAAAGCCACAAGTCATACACAAGTTATGACCATACCCGAAGGCCTACCCTACCACCCTAATTTTCGACCTCCATACGCTCCTATCTAAGATCATATCTTCGGTTAGCTTCTGAATGTGTTGGTCTTGTCTAATCACCAGAGCCTCTCGCACCTCCTCACCAGAG